GGCAGCGAGGGCTCGAGCGGGTGCGCGCGGCCCCGGGACCTCCCACGAGCCTCCAGGATCCGGTTGTTTTGTTGTAATCCGCTTTCCCTTGCAAAAAACAATAGAAAATGACATTTCTTGTTCTAATATAACCAAATTTCAGGAATCCCTTGCAAAAAATAAGGTAAAGTGGACATTCGCGCGCGCAAGACGAAATCCTTCCAAAACCTTAGTGTTCGCAACGATTTTAACATAAAAACATCAAAAAACCAATGGTTTTCCCCACTCTTATGTCGGGCGTGTCCCCCTGCAGGGGGATCTTCGACGAGAAATTGAAACAAATACACCAAACATGCCCTCAAGAGGTCAACAAGACACTCAGCGCAAATAGTCCCCGGACCATATTGGGATTATGTTTTGACTATGTTTGGGGTCTTTCTTGTATCCTTCGTCGAAAATCCCCCTGTAGGGGGACAGTCCCGACTGAATCCGACTTAAGGACCACATCCCAGAGCTAGTTTCGAGCACCCGGAAGAGTGTCAAAAGAGTGTCGAGACAGTGCCGGGCGAGTGTCTCCCAGGGCCCGACACGTCAGAACCCTTGAGTTTCAGCACTTGTTTGGACGCTCGATCTTCCTTCTGGTGACCAAGACGAAAGCAGGTTAGAGCATCATACAGTGCCACTTTTGTATACAGGCTCCGCGTGCGGATCATGTATTAAACATGCAGGGATCCAGTATTGAAAACAACGAGGAGTTCATGCATAAGTTCATTCATACATCAATCATGTATTAAACATCCCATGTTTGTATTTTGTTTGACAAACAAAAGCTGCCCTGTCACACGAGCCCACGGATGTGGCGGCAGTTGCGCAGTCCGCAGCCACCCGGGGAGCAGCGAGGCCTCCAACGGGGCACGCGCGGCCCCCCCGGTCTCGCAGCGGGCACACCGCGGGGAGCCCGCGAGCGACCCTGGCGGCCGGCGCGCCCTCCGCAGTCACTGCGGCACGGCGAGGTCTCCCCAAGGAGGAGGGGCGCGCCCTCGCCCTCCTTCTTCCAGAGCTTCCGCGCTGACCTTCCACCTTCTCCTGCGCCTCGTGAGACGCCGAGTTGTCCTGCGTTCCCCGGGGACTTCGATAGTTTCACTGCATCACCTCCCGCGCCTTCCGCAGAGGGTCGGAAGGTATGGAAGATGGGGGTGCAGGGTTGTTCAGTTCGCATCGACCCAAGGGGCCGCGACGTCTCGGGTGGTCGCGCGTGGCCCCCCAGTCTGCGGGACCTCCCACCAGAGCACGGAAGTGGCGGCAGCTGCACAGTTCGCAGCCACCCAGTAGCAAGGACATGGGACGTGGGCGAGGGAAGCGAGGAGGCAGGAGGCAGGAGGCAGGAGGAGAAGGAAGGAGGAAGAGGGGGAAGGATAATGGAAACCAGATTGCTTCGTTCCAAAAAACGAGAACCCAACACACAAGAAGGTCGGGAAACAATGCATGCATCGTGTCCGCCAGGCCGACTCCGACGGCTCCCAAGACGGCCCAATAGACCCACGAGAAACAAAGTTTAGACATTGTTGGGGCCACCGGCCACAATAGGAACCATCTTGGCTGTCGGGGAAGCATATTGGTGGCCATCTTTGGCCGTATTGGGCCATATTAGAAGCCACCTTGGGCCATAGCAGAAGTCGAGGATCATTTTCCAGCGGCACGCTGGACAAGCAGCGCGCCCGCGCCATATGTTGGGTTAGCTTTCCCGAGGACCAGCTGTTCATAGCTAATGCGAGAAGCGGGCCTTGGGGGCCTATTGGGCCGTGTGGAACGCTCTGAACAAGCGGAAATCATGCGGCATGTTTGGTTGGTCCGTCGTTTGGGTTTTTTGAGTTGGTTCTTCGGGTTTGAAACACCGTCCGTTGGGGCTACCGAGGGCTCGACCGCCTTTGTGAGGGGGGACGTTGGTGTCCGTTTGGGCCATTTGGGCTTCCTAGAGGCCAATTGACGAGCGCTGGAAGTTGCCAGGCGCGCGCTGGAAGTTGCCAGGCGCAGTACAGATTTCTTGTAATTTGGTGGACCTGATCTTGCTGAAGAACCTCTAGGCAACCTAGAGCCCCTCCAATAGCAGACCCATGAGCCTCTGGTCCTTCTTCTACGTGCTATAGCCGCGATGCGGGTGTGATTGGTGTGTTTATCTTGCCCTCCTTCGCTCATCATGCATGCAGGCCCTGCTGTTCTAACGGCGAATTCGCTTCTGAAACGCACAATGCGGACATGGGAGGTCAATACTCGTGGAAGCAAACATTATGGTGTGCAGGAATACGGAAGTATTCCATATCAGGATGCCTGACTTCTCGTTGACATGGGGCCAGATTTTTGAAACGAGGGGATTCGAGGGGTCCGTAGTGCCAGTTTGTCATCCTGCCCCCTTGCTCATCCTCCCCCTCCTCCCCCTCCACCTCTTCCCCCGCCTCTCCCTCCCTCCGCGTGCCATCCTCGCTGGTTGGTGCTCAGACGTGGTGGGGCCCCCCCTGCACTTCGGGAGGCAGGTCGGCAGTGTTCGTGGAACCTGGGAGTCGACGGATTTCCACACGGGCCCTCGAAGAAGAACACACGACGTAAACATTAGCTTTTGCCGCTCCGCGCGGATTTCTCTTGGATCCGCGCTGGGGCCCCCTGGCTGCGCCTCCTGCGCCGCCCCTGGCGCGCTGCGCGCGCCAGGGAGTGGGTGGCGGCGCGGATCCAAGAAATCCGCGCGGAGCGCCAAAGGTTTCTGTTTATGCCGTTTGTTTTTGTTTCCAGGCCCAGGCCCCGACGGAAACTCCGCCGGCCGTGCCCGCCCTCACCGTGGCCACGCGGGAGTGCGCGAGAGAGGAGGCACGAGCAAGAGGGGAAGGAGGAGAGAGGCGCCTTTCCAGCTGGGTCTGTCTGGCTGCGCCATGCTTCTGATGAGATGGACGATTAATAAGGCATGCGCGTGCGCTGGCATACTGGTACGGCCTGGGCAACCCCTTGAACAACCCTTTGAAACAAACGGTGGTTTTACAATAATTATTTCGCTTATTGGGCCATCTTGGCCAAGAACTATCGATCTGTGGGGTCAAGCTGCCATCCGAAAATCTGCCACACACAGGCTCCACAGTCGACACCAAACGCGCCAACCCGACACGCCACAAGCGTGCCGCGGCGGTAGCTGTGCGAGGCTGTCCAGCGGGCGTGGGCGAAAGGAGGACCTGTCCGAAGCTGTCCGCCGGGCGTCCTCGCTCGAAGTCGAGCCATGCCTCGTCGCTCCGTCACCGCGCCCTCGGTGCGCGTGCGCTGGCAAACCGGCACGGCCCGGCCTCTTTTCGATAAGGATGATGAAGGAATGTGCGTGCGCTGGCAAACTGGTACGGCCCGGACAACCCCTTGAGCAAGAGGAGGAGGAGGAGTTGGAGGAGGAGGAGGCGGAGGAGGATGAGGAGGAGGTGGCGGAGGCGGAGGCGGAGGCCTGAGGGAGGAGGAGGAGGGAGGAGGGAGGAGGGATGAGGGAGGAGGGGAGGAGAGGAGGAGGGAGGAGGGAGGGAGGGAGGAGGGGAGGAGAGGGAAGGAGGGAGGAGGGAAGGAGGGAGGAGGAGGAGGGAGGAGGAGGGGGGGATGAGGGAGGGAGGAGGGAGGAGGGAGGAGGGAGGAGGGACCGGGCTCCGCCGCCGCGCCCTCGGTGCCCCGACGGAAGCCTCCGCCGCCGTCCGCCGAGGAGGCCCAGCTGGCCGCCTCGCTGCGCGGGAGCGGCCGGGCCTCCACCGCCGCGGAGCCCAGGCGCCGGCCCCGCCCGGAGGGTGTCTCCGAAGGGGCTTCGGCGACCCTCACTCCTCCTCCTCCTCCTCCCTCCTCCTCCTCCTCCTCCTCCTCTCCTCCTCCTCCTCCTCCTCCTCCTCCTCCTCCTCCTCCTCCTCCTCGTGTAAACTTCGGCCCCGGGGGAAACCGTGCAGCCCCGCCGTGCCACGCGCGCACCCACGCCCTGCCCCCCTCCAGCGCTCCTTGCCGTGGTTCGAGTTTCCCCGTTTGAGAGCCCTCACGGGGCGAAACAGGCTTGTAAACGATGATGGCGGTTCTAGGGCTAAGTCGGGCGTGTCCCCCTACAGGCGGATGTTCGACGAAGAATTAAAAGTACCCCAAACATGCACCAACAATACCCCAAAAAGGCAAAACAAATATCAAAAAACAGTCCCCAGACTATCTTTATAATATGTTTGGATTCTTTTTGGAGTATTTTTGATCGTTCGTCGAAAATCCCCCTGTAGGGGCAGGCCCGACTTAATTCTAGGGGAACGAACAAATAACATGAACATAGAAATTCGGAGGTCTGCGCGAATTGTTCGGATCGGCGCTGGAGCCCTAGGGCGGCGCCTCCGGCGCCTCCCCTGGCGCGCTCCGCGCGCCAATGTGGGGGGCCCAACGCCGATCCGAGAAAACCGCGCGGACCTCCGGGTTGTTGTTGTTTATGTTATTGTTTGTTTCCCTAGGTTCCGACAATGACGACAATCGAACGGCAAATCCCCGCTGGCCCCCGCCTTTTCCTGGAGATGCCGACGTGGCCAAGCGTCGGGGTATAAGCTCTTGGACCGTGTCTTCCCCGAGCCCTTGCGGACCCCCCTGGGGAAAGGCCTTGGGAAAGAAGGGATGAGGAGGAGAAGGGGGAGGACAAATAAAAATAGCAATAGAAGTAGGAGTAGTCGCAGGAGGAGGAGGTGGAGGAGAAGGTGGTGGTGGAGGAATAGAAGGAGGAACAGTAGTAGTAATAGTAGGAGGAAGAGGAGGTGGAGGAGGCCTCGTGGGGCCCTCTTGAGGCCCTCTTGAGGCCCTCTTGGAGCCCCATGTGGGCTTCCTGGAGTATTCTTTGGGGCTTATGTGGAGCCTCTTGGGGGCCTCCTGGGGTCTCTGGGAGGCAGTCTTGGGGGCCCCGAGGGCCTCTGAGGGACCTCTTGGCCTTCGGAGGCCCTCTTGGGCGCTTCAGGGGGCGCTCTTTGGGGCCGCCTTGGAGGTCCGTGGGGCGCTCTTTGGGCGCTTTAGGGCCGTCTTGGAGGTCCGTGGGGCCGTTTAGGGGCCCCCTTGGGCCTCTGAGGCAAGGGCTCCCCCGAGGGCGCGAAGTTATTCGCGCTTCGCGCTTCGCGGTCCTCGTTTCTCCTCCCCCTCCTCCTCGTCCTCCTTTTCTCCCTTTGGGGGGGCGGCGCGAGAGCGCGAAGTTATTCGCGCTTCGCGCTTCGCGGAGCGCGAAGCGCGAAGTTGGGAGCCCTAGCTGAGGCGTTCGTCTGTCGGAAGCCCGACAAGGCGCAAGAACGCATTGCTGAAGGACAGCCCTTACGTGGGGCCTCCCGAAGGTCATCTTGGGCCGTCGTGGTGGCATCGTGGGACCTCTTGGGGCCATCCTGGCCGTGCTGGAGGCGTCTTGGGGCCGTCTTGGAGGCCATGTTGGCTGTCCTGGAGGCCCTCTGGGGGCCATCCTAGGCGGGAAAGCAGTCGGGAGATCGCCCTGGGTCTTCTCGGGTAGCGGGCTGGATTCGGCCGAGACCCCTATTGGGAACCTTGCGGGAGGGTTTTAACGGTTGACATTCGGCACGCCGACAGCTTCTCTTGCAGGCAGCAGGGGGCCGAGGATCCAGCGGCCGAACGGGGCCCTCGCAGGGCTGTTGTTTGGGGTGGTTCTTGCAGCTCTCTGAAGCCATCTTGAAGCCATGTCGAGTCGGCAGGCCGAACAGGCGGGGGGCGGGGGGATCATGTTGTCGATGGGCTTGGTTGTCCAGGGCCTCTCTTTAGGAGTCTTGGGGCCTCGTTCCCTTGGGGCCCCTTGGGACCTCCCGACGGTCTCCCGCGTCTGCGGGCGTGCCTCTTGGAGACTGTTGGGGGATCTTGGGCTCGTGGACGCGCTCGGCGTCTGGGTGCTCGCGCGAGCCCCCGGGAGCGCCAGGAGCACCCCGAGAGTTCTGGGAGCCGGGGGGCTGGGGCCCCGCAGAATCCCACACCCCTTTTTGTCGCTTGCGGCTCAGGCGGTCGCAAACATGGATCAAGGTGTCGTGGATTAGCGACGGCTCCCGGTTCCATGGGAAATCGAGGAGTGCCGCCGCCGAACGAGGTTGCACCGGCCGCATTTTGGGGAGGGTGCTTCCCCCGATCCATGGATTTGGCGACCGCGCGCCAAATCAATGGATCGCTAATCCATGCTTGCGCGTCCCCGAACTAAGCCTTGGATCCCTCTACTAGTTGAAGGCACGGTGGCGGATTGTTATGATGATGGCGGTGGTGATGGTAATGGTGGTTATGGTGATGATGACGGTGATGGTGGTGATGATGGTGTTTATCGTAAGCAGCACCATTATCATTTTTCGTGCTCGTCCCCCTCCTCGTTATCGTCTTGCGTCTCTTTGTCACCCATCCTTCTTATCTCGCACCTCACCCCTCGCACTTTTTCTCTCCTCTCTCCTCTCATTGTCATCCTGCTTGCCCGCTCACTTCTCTTGCTGGCCACCGTTCGCCCACTTCGTTTCACAGCTGGCCTGCGCTGGAGAGAGCACTGATTGGAATGGTGCCCGAAATGCGTCCGGTGGACGCGTGGGAGGCAATCTGTTCATGTGGCTCGGCCTGATCCCAAAGGCGAAGTCGACACGCAAACAGGATGATGGCGGCAATCTTCGTTCCCGACTGCCAGCGTGCTTTCTGAGACGCTTCACTAGGCTGTCTCGGTCAAAAGTTTGCCCGCACGAGCGCATTGCGGGGAGGAGGGGGAGGTGGAGGAGGTGGCAGGACCAGGAGGTCGGAAAGGTGCACCGATCCAATGACTGTTCACGTGTCGTAGCGTGGTGCGCAGAGGGAGCAGCGCACGAACCGCCACTTCCCTCCTTGGCCCTGCGCTTGGCCGCCGGGATGCCGCGAGAGACCCGTCGCCCGAGCTCCGGCCCGCCCTGCATGAGTCGGCAAGTGCTCCCTGCGCCCCAGAGCGCCCTCGGAGCCGCGGCCGCCGCCGCGCGCAGCCGCGGCCGCGACCGCGCGCGCGCCCGCGGCGCCGGCGGACGCGCTCGCGCGCGCGCCCCGGCCGACTTTTGGCACCATCCGTGCTCGTGGGCCTGCCTCGCGCTTCGGCTCGGGCACCGTGCGCTTCTCCGTCTCTCACTTCCTTCTCTCTCTCCCGCCCGCTTGGTTCTGCCGTGGGAGAACACACACACACACACACACTGTGTATGTGTCTGTGGGGAGAAAACGCACACTGTGTCTCTGTGTGTTTTTTCCCCACAGACTGTGTGTGTTTTTCCCACAGGCTCCTGCTCCGATGCCCCGCGCCGGCCTCTCGCTCGCGCTGCCTCGGCCTCCGCCGGCGCGGCGCCTCGACCGCCCCCCCCCCCGCCTTTTCGCCCACGCCCGCGCGCGGCCTCGAGAGCGCGGCGGGGCTCGCGCGGGCGGCCGCGGGAGCCGCGCGGCTGCCGCGGCTGCCGCGCGGCCGCGCGGCCGCGCGGCGGCCCCGTTGGGCGCAGCCCCGAGGTCGGCGATTAATATCAGAGCCCCGAC